TTCGCACCCCAAAAAATTATTCTTATTTCTATCCGTCTGGTTTGTATGTACACACGCTCTTATTTATTATTTTTTAGAACCTTAAGAACTATTCTTTCCGGGCACCTTCTTATATATTCCTTACCGTACGTACTCCAAATTGGCTACCTTTTCCTTGCAAATTCTTGAGAAACTCTTGCCTGTAGGCGTAAGGAAGATTTTTGATTCACCGCATTGGGCCTAAAAACTAACGAGTTTATTAGTTGGTCGAATTATCAATTTTTACAACAATTTTTAAGTGAATGAGATTGGTCGAGTGGTCTCAGTTGGAGATGGAATTACACGTGTTTATGAATTGAACGATATTCAAGCTGGAAAAATAGTTGAATTTGTCAACGGTGTGAAAGGAGTAGCCTTGAATCTTTTCCACATTCTATTTCTACCTCAAATACTACAAGTAATCATTTAAAAAAAAATTAAATCATTGAGTATCACCAATTCAGTAGTACACCTTTTTATATATAAAGAGAGAGACATTCGACCTCTCTCACAAAAAGAAAAAAAAAAATGGTTAAAAAAGAGAGGGGAGAAGAATTTATATAGTCGTGTCTCTATATTGATCTCACAAGTAGAATTAATGTAGCCAAGTTAAAAGGAAAGGAAAGTTGACCGTATGAGCACAAGTGGAATACAGAAAAAAAGTTGGATAGACTAAGTGAAGATATGATAACAATATTCATATTCCCGTAAAAGATATAAGAATAGTTATATTTAATATCCGAAAGAATACGATGAAATGATAAAAATAGCTGGTTATAATTTGAGTATAAGAAAATAATTCTACAAAACATTTTGTACTTTATGTTACAGATCTAATATATCTTGGCATAAAAATTTGGGGTGAAATGAACTACTATAGTATATAACTAAAAACCATTTGTAATTGGCCATATATACTGTATTAAAAGGTCAGCTCGGTGCACGAGGCATTCCGCATTCACGCAGGATCCAGAACGAGATCCTGCACCCCAAGGGGCGTAATGCATGCAGCCTACCCTAATGCAAGCATCAGTGGCTGATTCCACAGCTCGAACTATAAGTCACACAAAAATAACTTTTACCGTTGCTCCAAAGCTCACCCTGCCGTATACGGAGGAAAAAATAACAACAGAAGGGGAAAAAGGTGGGATCCAATCAGCAAAACATAACACCACTCAAAGCATTAGAAACAAAGTTTAGACAAAGAGAGGAACTTTATACAAAATCATGCAAATCATAGCTACGGACTCTCTCTTTAAGCTATGTGGGATCGGTTAGGTTCCTTCATCCTTGCATTGGAAACAAACCATGTTTCTTGCAATTATTATAATAAGTTTTAATCTATTGCTATTATTTTAATTAGTTTAACTTTTATATCGTAACGTCATAAAAGAATTTAAAACTATCAGATCACTTAAAACTAAAAGAAACACATGACATGTTAATAAGTGCCATTATCAATCTGGAATATACAAGATAGACATGTTATAACAAGTTAAAATATTTTTTACAGTATCATTGTTAAATTTAGTTGTTTCTTTAGTTGAAAATAATGTTGGTAATTAACATTTGGGTAGGTACTAATGCCAAGAAAACACAATTTCCTTGCTCATTTCTCTCTGAAGAAAAATGATTATTAAACATATGATGATTACTTTGTGAAAAGCTTATTGTTATCATCATAATACTCCTCACTAGGACTACACAATATTTATCTTCTGTTCCTTCACTACTTGAATTTCTTCTCTTTTACTTGCAATTATTGAATAGACATTGATGAATTGTGTCTTTTCAAAATTTTCTAAAAAAATCCCTTGTCTGAAAAACAAACTCTAGAAAAGGAAAAAAGATAATGAAGTGGCTTCACTTTATAAATGATTCTACAACACATAAAAAGTGAAAGTTTTAGTAGAGGTTTCTTGCTGGCGAAGGCATAAAGTATATAATGCATGTGGTAGTGCCAATAATATGGTCTTGTTTTTCATATTGGGGACCTCTTATTTGCATTGGATCTTTAATTACTGCAAACATTCCTTAATTACTTTTTCTTAACTAGTAAGTAATATATGATCAACAATTACTAAGGAATATAAAGGAAGCTAGAGATGGTTGGGCAAAGTGTAATTATCAAGTAGTCTCTCGTGGTGGCAAAAGATACCACCAAATCGTAATTATCTTTGTCCAAATTCAAAACGTGCATTCATAAACAATGCATTCATTCCTTAACTACCACTTTTGAAGAACATTAGGATACTTAGTTTATTAAACATTTATTCCATGCATTTCAAGTAATCAAATTTTTAGATTCTTCTCTTTCTCAATAAGAATAAGTAACAAGATTCAACTTTTTTTTATTGGTTTCTCGCTAGGTGTCCGAACTCACTTTGGGAACCCAGCTAGTGCCACATAAGAGGAATTAGGTAAGCGCTACTTATTTGAATTTTTTATTTTTAAGACTCGAACCTGATACCTCTAACAAAGTAAGGTAAATGAATTCTATTCATCCCATCACAACTTTTGATAGTAATTTATTTTAATTTGCACGTGGACTAACAATATCCGATTAGGTCTATGGTTGAATCTTTTTGGATCAACGTGCCAATTACTGTCCTGACTGTTTACATGTTGCGAGTAGATTAAATTCAAGAAAATGATAAAAATAAATAAGTAATTAGGATGTTAAATTAAGCTTGAGAAGATACAAGATTTGGTAAGGTTATTTAGGTAATAAGGGTAGCTAGCTAGCTTATGAAGTTGCAATAAATTATTAAAGGTGGCTTAAGATGAAAACAAAAAGGGTAAAAGAGTTAATAGAACTCAAAGGGGTTTTGAATAAAGCCATCTTTTTCAATTTCAAGGGAAGTTTGTTTGTCGATGAAAGTTTGTTTGGCTTTAGCTATTGTTGAAGTTAATGACTTTGCTTAATTTAATCAGTTAATTCCTTTTCTAAGTTAGTTGGAGACTCTTCGTTCTTATGTTCCCATCTTTGTTCACTTCTCTCTAGACTTTGTCATGGCCCTCGAAATATTCGTAATAAAGAAAAAGATACTCAAACATATTATATAATTGGTGTATGAAGAGCAAACTTTTCAAAAATATTTGTTGAGACGTAGAATTACACCCCATTTATATTTTATCTGTTTCACTTTATACGAATCTATTACTATTTGGCGAATGAAACAAAAATAAATATTGACCACATTTTTTGTATATACTTTTTTAATATTTTAAATTATTAACTATTGCAACTTATACAATACTTTTATGTAGTTTTTAAATATGTAAGTTTTATAAATACGTAGTTCTTGAGCCGAGAGTCTTTCGGAAACAACCTCTCTGCTCCTTCGGGTAAGGAGTAAGGTCTGCATATACACTACCCTCCTCAGATCCCACTAGTGAAATTTTACTAGGTTATTATTGTTGTTGTAAGTTTTATTTCAGAAAAAAATCAAAATTGTATATATGAATTTACATAAAAATTAATCAGTTTGACCCTCATATTCCGAAAAGGTTCACATAAAGTGAAATGGAGGGAGTATAAAATTATTGTCACCATGTGCGGATCCACCATTATAAAATTTTTTGCTTAAACGTTGCATATATATATAATGATATTAGAATTTTTTTTTAAATATATTTGCTTTAAATTTCACATTACACATTATTATAGATGAATTATTGCGAGTGATACTCTGTATTTATGTATTTAAAGTGTTATTTGTTATGTTGAAACGATGTCACAAGATATCAATAAGCACACAGCTTAAAAAGAAACCCTAACATCCGGTATTATAATTTGTAAAGCTATAATTAACTACTTTTCCGTTGTACTTCACGTATAAATCCCAATAAACATGCAAGTAGGTATAAACAGGTCACCAAATAGAGAAAAATACAAAATGAATATAAATGTTCTCCTTAAAAATAAATACCAAGCAGAGTGGAGGTCAAGTGTGGGGTGGGTGTGTTAGTTGAGTTGGGTAACCATTGATTACATGTATAGGCAATTGTATAAATTAGCTCACCTTACGAAAACTATAGCTATAAATTATTAATTCTAGAAATTAAACAAAGAAAAAAGACGAAAAATACTATAATCGTTCTTTCTACACTTTTCGCTGGTCATAGTTGCAATCGGGGGTGGAGCTAGAGATCAAAGCGCGAATTCGGTCGAACCCAATAATTTTGGTACAACTCTATATTAGTCTTAAAAAATTTACTTAATACATTCAAATTATTAATTTAAAATTACTAAAATCCTGAACCCAAAAACTTCTGGTTGCAATGGGTCAAGCTAATGTTGAAGACTTGATTTAATTAATGCATGCGATGGCAACTACCAAAGTGTCCAGTGCTAGTATATTCTGCAGGGTATTAATTTATTGCTTTAATTTCTGGTTAAAGTCCTGTAAGTAAATGTAAATTTACAAACAAAAAAAAAAAATATTTACAGCAACTATATAATACATTATTAGAAGTATATTAAGACAACTTCTAATATTGCAATTGGCAACTTAAAAAGGTTTACCAAAACATTTCTGAATTTTGTATACGAATAAGACGAGTATGTATCTGTAATACAACGCTTGGATTGATCCAAAACTATCGCACATATTAATGTAGGTAAATTCCATTAGAAGAGACATGATTTGTGCTGTAAGTAATAATTATGATTTAATTAATCAGCATGATATTGGCATTTTATGATCCCGTAATTCCATATACCTGCTTTAAGCTCCACGCTTGGGTATTCTCTGAAATAATTAATAAATAAACAAAATAAAAATTACTGTTAAAACAATAATAAAATACTAAGATAAGTTATTAAGCAATCATATATTTTTACCTAATCTTGTCATTAAAGTATCATAATCAACTGTCAGGGTACAACCCATAAAGCATAGAAGTACAAGTTCTCAATGCGTTTCCTTTTTTATCACTTGGAAAACGCACTACAGTAGTACGACAGTTATGCTCGCAAATCTTTCTTCAGGCCCCACTTTCTCTCTCTCCTCCGCGTATATTTTCGCCGGACGTTCGTAACGGTCATATTTTCCGATAATCTTTCTCTCTCTAAAAACTACCAATGTAATAATCTCTACACATAAATACACGCATTAATATACATAATTTTCCGCTTGATCTTCGTAGTTTTCACTGATTACTCTATAAATTCAGCTGAATTTTTGGAGAATTAGGGTTTTAAGATAGTGAAATGAAAAGTTTCCGGAGAGATGTGAAGATTGTGTGAGAGTAGCAATGGTAGCTGCAGTATCAACAACGAAGCTAAATCCTAAGGTTACGTCGAATTGTTCGAGTTATCAGAATCCGAAAAGGCCGCCATTGTTGCCTTCAGAAGCTGAGAATAATGGACGTTCTAGAAGACCGAAAGCCAAAGAGGTTAGTTCCCGGTACCTTTCGACTTCTTCTTCATCTTCCGTCTCAACGACGTCGTCGAATAATACTTCGACTACTTACTCTTCGTCGTCAAAATCCGTTGCCTCATTGCGGAGTCAGTCGCCGATGCTGACTAGGACGGTTCGACCGGTTGCGACGCCAGTTCGGGATTCCGGTTCGATTAAACGGTCCCAATCAGTGGACCGGAGACGGCCGGTGACGCCTGTATCAACAGAGACGTCTACTGCGGCAAAGCAGCTATTGAATTCCAGTAGGAGCTTATCCGTATCGTTTCAAGGTGAGTCATTATCTATACCTGTCCGTAAAGCAAAACCTGCTCCTGCGACGAACAATTTTGGTAGTACTGTAAGGAAGGGTACGCCGGAGAGGAGGAAAATCACGGCGGAGTTTATCACGCCGGAGAGGCGGAAAATTGCGGCAGCTGCAGAGTTAGTTACGCCGGTGAGAGGAGATCGGACTGAAAATGTAAAGCCGAGTGATCAGCATAGGTGGCCGGGGAGGTCAAAGTCACTGAATTCAAGTTTTCTTACACGAAGCATGGATTGTGGTACTATTGACAAGCCAAAATTTGGATCTGAAAGTGTCATTAAGTCATCGATGAAATCGGTAATTGACATATATCACAGAGCTAGAATTGAAAGTAAATTGAAACCTCAAAGTGTTAATGATGAGATTGATATGAAGTCAGCTTATGGATCAGCTATATCTGTTGATGCATTGGCTTCAGATAGTGAAAGTGTCTCTTCAGGGAGTACTACAGGTGTCCATGATGGTCCAATTGTGACTCAAGGGCGAGGAGGTCCACGAGGTATAGTTGTGCCTGCTAGGTTTTGGCAAGAGACTAACAACAGGATCCGACGAGGGCCAGAACTTGGTTCTTCTGTGGAGAAAAATGGTA